CAGATGATCATCAAACTCTCAAAGCATTACTTCCTTCTTCGCAATATAATACATTAGTTCTGGATATACCAGAATGTCTTGGACACATATCTAAATGGATGAGCGAATCCATGAGTCGTACATGTTCCTGAGTTTTATCTATTTTAAAAATGCATTCTTATGCATTAACCAATCGAAAACAAAAATATTAATTATGGCACCACCTAACATTCAAAAAGATATTATTATTAAAGGTACTTTTGTTAACAAGGAATGCATTAGATTTGTTGACTCCACAAAAAGTTTGGGTGTGATACTTGACAATGAACTGTCCTTAAAAACACAGATAAATATGATTGTGAAAATTTGTAACAATATAATCAGCAAAATATCCAAAATAAAACAATTCTTATCGCATAAAGATTTGTGCACCTTAGTATGTTCATTAATTTTTTCACAGCAAGATTATTGCAACTGTCTCTCCTTTGAAATTGAGAAGTCACTATTAATAAAACTGCAGTCTGTTCAAAATTGTGCAGCAAAACTAGTATTTAAAACCAGAATAGAAAATCAAATAAATGACCAGGTAGTTATCAATTTGCATTGGATTAAAATTAGAGAAAGAATTTATTTCAAGGTTTTGTTAATAATGCACAAGTCTATTATCCAGGAAGCGCCAGCATCATTGTGTAATTTGATTCACTTCTCATTGTCAGGGCGGTATCCCACTATGGTCCTAGACCTTTGAATGTTCTTCCAAGTATCATTCGAGATGAAAAAAAAACTATTTATAAAAAAAAACTAAAATCATATTTAATGGTGAATAGCAAACTATTCCACCAGAAAACTCTAGAATATTAAAAATAAATTAATATAATAATTTATTGCACAGCTGAGCAAGTGTTTTACCAGCTTACACTTTATTTGGGCAAAACACAGTAACTGTGGGTAGACCTATGTATTTATTTATTTATATATAATATATTTATATATAATATATATCTATATATAATATATATATATATATATATATATATATATATATATATTATATATATATATATATATATATATATATATATATATATATATACAATCCTCAGGATTAGGGTCAGTATTCGGCAATGCCAATCTAACTGCCGACCAGAAAGTGTTTGAGGTCGGCAATTATTTGCCGTTTCTATGTTTAATAGTCAGACCTTGTATCAAATAATTTTTGCCGACCTCAAAAAGATCAAGATAGGCAAATTATTGCCGACCTCTTTTTTCCTAATTCCGAGTGTTATATATATATATATATATATATATATATATATATATATATATATATATATATATATATATATATATATATATTTATATATATATATATATATATATATATATATTAGAGTGTGTCATAAAATTTTTTTTTAGAGTTGCTAACCTGACTATGGTCTAAAAAGTTATTTTTTTATTGTCTAAAAAGTCTATTTATTGTCTAAAAAGTCTTTTATTGTCTAAAAAAATTTTTTATGGTCTAAAAAGTTGTTTTTTTAGGAAAGTATTTACTTTTATGGATTGAACAATGTCTTCCACCCGCAACTATAATTACAAAAATTAGCAGGCCCTATTATTATTCAAAAAAAAAGTTTTTCAAAATTATGTGATGTAGGTACTCAAATAAAGCGAAATTTTATTAAAATTTTAAAAATAACAATTTTTACATATAAAAATTATTATTTTAGATTTTATTGCATAATAACTATAGTTTTTTAACTAAAAGTGAAAAAGGTGCATTTTTACATGCTTTTTAATAACAATTTTTTTCGGCAATATGATTTTTATAAAACGATTATTATTTTCTATAAATTTTTTATAAAATTTCGCTTCTTTTGATTACCAGGTTGAAAACCAGGTACTTTTAAAAAACCTTTTTTCTCCAAAATATTAGGGTACCGGTAATTTTCCCAATAAAGTTGCGCCCTTCTATCACAATCATTCTCATATTTCATAGTATCAATATTAATAACTATTAGCAATGTCTAGATCCTGTAACAAGAAAAAAAAATTTTATGATCCACCCTAATATATATATACATATATATGTATATATGTATACATATGTATATATATATATATATATATATATATATATATATATATATATATATATATATATATATATATATATATATATATATATATATATATATATATATATATATATAATAAATGTATTTGTTTATTTTTTTAATGATTTGTTAATTAAAAGCAAGTTAGCGTCATCAGCAAAATGGTAGGAAGTTATATATTTTAATGATAAATTAAGGTCGTTAATGAAAACAATGGTCCTAATACAGAGCCTTGAGGTACACGTGTAGTGCATTTTACTAAAGAAGACGTGTTACCATTAATAGATACAAATTGAAATCTATCATAAAGATATGAGATAAACCATTGGAGAGAAATTCCTCTAACTCCATAGTACTCCAGTTTACTTAGGAAAATAGAATGATCAACAGCGTCAAATGCTTTCTGCAGATCAACAAACACACCACAAGCAAAACGCTTATTGCCAAGAGCTTTTCTGATAACCTCAATGATTTCAATAAGTGTATGAGTTGTGGAATGCTTGCTTTGAAACCCGTATTGGTGTTTGTAAAGACATTGATATTTATCTAGAAAGTTGTAAAGTCTGTTGTACATAGCTTTTTCAAATATTTTACTAATGTTTGACAGAAGCGATATTGGGCGATAGTTAGTGTGGTCAGTTCTAGAGTCTTTTTTATAAAGCGGAATAACTTTAGTTATTTTAAAGATATCTGGAAAGAGTCCATTTTCAAAGGAGCTTTTTATCGTTGTACAGAGAGGCTTCAAGATAATATGGGAAACAAGTTTGAGAAGAAACGTGAGATTACTATTGATACCTAAACTTTTTTTATTTTGTAAATTTTTTATAAGATTTGATACTTCGTTTTCAGTGATTGGATCTATAAAAAAGGAGTAATTTGGGTTATTTAAATAGTCTGAAAAATTACATTTAGGAGAAACAATTTTTGTTAATAGTGTTTGTAAAATATTTACAAAGTAATTATTAAATATGTTTGATACAGCTTTGCAGTCTGAAATTTATTGCCATTAAATTTGAGATTAATAGATTTACTGGAAAAGGAAAAAGAAAGTTTGATGTTAATAATTTATTTTATACCTTTCTATGTATTTTTTACATTGTTAAGGTCATTGTTAAAAAATTTGATGTAATATTTTTTTAGAAAGTTTTAGTAAATGTTACTTCTGTACCATTCAAATTTATTTAAAATATAAATTTTAATGTTATGATTTTTTGCTTTTACATAATGTTTATATAGTTTGTTTCTAATAGATATAGATTTTAGAATTCCCTTGGTGATTCAAGGTTTTGATTTAAGTTTAATATGTTTAGCAGTAAGTTTTTTATAGGGTGCATGTTGATTAAAAACTTTGTTAAAATTTAAAAAAAAAAAGTTTAAGGATTCATTGACATTATTGTTATTTGTAATTTGTCTGCATTAGAGATATCCTATATAAATTTTTTATTATCCAAATTTTGGAAAGTTCATCTGAATATTACCTTCTTAGTTTTTTTGGGAGGAGGACAAGAAATGCAGATAAACTGCACCATATGATTAGAAATAGACATTGTAAGACTGCCTGAAATTAAATCAAGAGTTTAGAAAATTAAAAAGATATTATCAATGAGTGTCTTAGATGTAGCAGTTATATGTGTAGATTTAATTATAGAAGAAAAAAAAGAATAAGAACATAATGTATCAAAATAATTAGAGATAACTTTCGATTCATTATAATTTAACAAGTCCATATTGAAATCACCCATAAGGACAACTTGTTTATTTTCAAAACTAAGCCTCTCAAGCAAGGGATTAAAATGATCAGTAATGAATTCATTAGATCTCATTGATGGATGTAAATATATAGTGCCAATAACAATATTTTATTTCAGGGGATTGACAATTTCAACAAAGATAGATTCCAGGTATTTAGATGACTACAAATAAAATAGTTTAAGTTTGAGCATAAATATAGAAGAGCACCACCTTTTTTGGCCTCGGTAGGACTATGCTCAATAGTAAAACCATTTATATTAACATCAGTTTTAATGGAATCGTTAATATTTAGTTTTGATTCAGAGATACCAATTACTATCAGAAGAGTGGTAAGAGAGCTTATTAGACTGTGAAGACTATCAATGTGATAAGGGAGCAAAGCAATGTTTAGATGTAGGTATAAATTACAATTATTTTTAAGAACTTTATTAAGTTCAGAAAATGTCATAATATTTACAGTTAATACTTTTGTTGGAGATTTTGTTTATATTATTGAATAACTTTTTGAAGTGAGGTGGAGATTCTAGAGATTTAAAATTATTGGTTGGTACGAGACAATAAAGTTAAAGAGAGCTTAAAATCAGAAAGTGAAAAATATGGCAAATTTTTGTTGATGCAGTCACTACAATACCAGTCAGTAAAATCTTTTTCAATAAGGTTGTAGGTGTGTTTCTTGATATAATTACATTTAGGGTGTAACCAAGAAGAGCAGTAACTGCATAGAATTGCTTTATGGCTATGAACCACTGTTTTATTTCAGAATTTACAAAGATTTCTTATTATCGTGACTTGTTATGCTTAAACAAAGTATAGAGTCTCTATACTTTGTTTAAGCATAACAAGTCTCTATTAGAGAAAAAATAATTAAATAAAGATATCTACGATATATATTTATAAAGAAACTGAGAGATTAAGACTAAGAAATGCTAATCTATAAATGATTGCTAATTTAAATACAGAGAAATGATCAGTTATAAAGAAATGATAGTAAGGTATAAAAGATTTAAGGGAGAATAAGTGTTACAGCTAGATGTGTGTGTATATATAAATATATATATATATAAATATATATATATATATATATATATATATATATATATATATATATATATATATATATATATTATATAACAAATACATAAAAAATAAACTCACCAGTCCATGTTTTCTTTTTACATTTATCACAGATTACTTCGTAACACATTATTTAAATTCTAATTATTTAAACTAAATTTTAAACAAACTTTATTATTTTTATTAATAAATCAATGAATACTGCATTAAAAATAAGTTTATTGAAAGTTTTAGAACTGCGGTAGTTTGAAAGCAAAAACATATAATTAAATATAAATAAATAATTGCATATTTTAAATTTTTCAATAAAATCTTATTCAACTTATATTTCATATTCAATTAAATAGAATTGAAGTTTACTTTTTTGGTTAGCGTTATAACATAATTGATTAACATAATATATCAGTTAGTTTTAAAAATTCAACTTGTACTGACACACAAATACCTGAAGCAACTGCGGCGGTGGTTAGAGTTCTGACCCAGAGGTCAGACGGTGGTTAGAGTTCTGACCCAGAGGTCAGAGATTCGACGCCTGGTCAGAGCATCTAGCCTAAGAATGACATTGTAAGGAAGGCGGAGTGAGTTTCCTAGTTAAATACTCTGTCGCGGTGCTCTGCGATAAGACCGAAAGCGCTTTTGAGAGCACTATAAAAAAATTAAATAAAAAATATTTTAAAATTTGTATTCAAGGCTGGTGCGATGGGGGAGGGGCTGTGTGTGAGTCTGTGTGTGTGGGGGAGGGGGTGACACCCCTTCATCAATGATTTTTTCGTTCATCTAGTCGGCAAGTTTGACCTTTTTTGAGTAGTCAGTCGGCAAATATTGAACCTTTCAACAAGTTAGTCGGTAAACTCCGAGAGTCAGTCGGCAAATCTCGATAAGGCAGTCGGAAAATTTTAAAAAACGAGGACCTTTTTTTTTTAGTCGGCAAAAGTTGTCTTGGCATCCCCCTCCCTTCACGTGACACCTACTCGCGCCGGCCCTGTTTGTATTGACAAACAAATCAAAACACTATGTTAGTGTTTTTGAATAGATTACTTGGGGTTATAATCTGGTAAATTAGGTAAATAGTCAAGCCACTTTAATAAAAAAATTTAATAAATACAATACTTCCTCCGTTACAAAATATTGTTCCAATATGCATTCAACGAAGAGAGTTATTAAAAATAAACTAAGTTGATAATTTTGTTAATTTTTTTTATAAAATTTTTTTTTTTTAAACATTTTGAACATTTAATACTAGTAGAGTATTATATGTTCAAAACGTTAAAAAAAAACTTAACAGCATAATTTGTTTTCAATAATTCTTTACGTTAAATGCAAACAATATATAATATAATATAAATCAAACGCTGTTTTCTTGTTTTACCACGAAAAATGAGTCTAACGACAGTAGATGTTAGCCGTTTTTCAGCGTTTTTAGCGTTTATAGCGTTTTAGTTTGTTTTTAAAATCTGAACAGTATTTTTTAACGGAAGAAGTATTTTATTTTTTGCAAAAAAAAAAAAATTTATGTTATTATAAAATTTACACATGCAAGTGGTGAGCATATGTAAAAACGTAAAAACGGGCGCCATGTGCGCCCATGAATTTTATATTTATTAAATATGCGCAATGGGCTTTCATGAATTTACTTATTAAATACAAGTGAATGTAATAATTAGTGGTAATTAGAAAATATTGTCGTCATAATTGTCATTTACAACTAAATAGCGATTACAATCAGGGCTGGACTAGCTCTTTGTGGCGGCCCGGGGGATAATATTTCTAGCGGCCTTCTATAAAATCTTAAAAAAAATCGCATAATATATAAATAATGTGTTATTTAACTCTTAGGTAGGGGAGAGTGGTACTGAATGGACCACAAAATTCAACTTTTTTGTAAAAATAATTTTTTTCCATATTGTCAACAACTTGGCGGATATATTAATTCAGAAGTCAAAATTAATACCTTAACTAACAATCCTTAAAAGTTGTAAACCATTGCGCAAACAGAACATAGGCAAAATGTGCGATAAATGTGACCCGTACATAATTATTTAGTGGTTCATTCAGTACTGTTCATTGTACTGAATGGACCAACCCTTGTACTGAATGGACCACAAAAAAAGTTTTATAAAAAATTTTTTATAAAAAAGATCAATATCTCTATCGCTAATAACTATAGCCGATATATTAATTCGGGAGACAAGATTAATATCTTAACTAACTATCCTTGTATATTGTATATTATAATAAAAGTTGTAAACAATTGCGCATAACAAGTTACATTATGCAAAGCAATTAGGGTGATAAATGGAGTTTAAAAACAAGAAAGAAGTATGTTGAGACATTGATATTTTTAAATTAATTAATACAACTTTAGACCGAAGTCTCAATCAGATAATCAAATTACAATAATCACAAACATATTGGCTGGCATTATCTGCACTTGTGCAAGTTTTATGTGCCCAGCTCGCACACTGTCTGCAACGGTACCACACTTCGTTGTCACGACCCATTTCTTCACATATAGCACACAAATCGTAATTTGATGTAATACCTCCACAAAAATTTAAACTATCTTTGACACCATTATCATTTCTTTCAACAAGAATATCATCAGCCTCATCATTATTATATGTCATTAATGGAAACTTTAGAGTTTTTGAGTTGCTTAATTTCTTTCTTGATTTCCTTTGACGTTTATTTTTAGCATCTTTTTGTTTTTCAGAAAAGTTTTGTTTTTTTAAATTTTGCTGAAGTTGTTGATTTTGAAGAGCCTCTTTAATTGGAGTATCAGTTAGAATCGAAGAGGAGAGCTTTTTGCGAGCACCTTTGGTTTTTTCTAAACGAGCTTTTGCAGAAGGATAAGGGCGTATACTTTCCACATTCAGGGTATTGCTAACATTTTTGTTGACTTTAACATTTCTATTTATACTGAAACTGGATAGATGTTGAGTGCTTCAGGATTAGGTCTAATAACTTCTACTGAAACTGGATTGATATTGAGTGCTTCATGATTAGGTCTATTAATTTCAACTGAAACTGGGTTGATATTAAGTGCTTCAGGATTAGGTCTAATAATTTCTAATGACACTGGATTGATGTTGAGTGTTACAGGATTGGGTCTATTTGTAACCTGAGATAAAAAAAAATCCTCATCCTTCCACCGATCAGGTTGCAAAGGACTTATTCCAGATACTGAAAAACCACTAATGATATTAACTGGCATTGATACTTTTGCCCAAGCCTTTCCAGAAATTTCTGCAATGTCATAGATTGAAGCAGTTTTTCCTGGATGTGATACCAACCAGCTATCAATTTCACAATTATAATGACGTTTGAAAGGTCATACACTGTTATATCTAACGGTTGCAGTTTGTGTGATGTATGGGGTGGGATTGTTAAAACAATTACACCATTATCTGATGCTAAGTCAATGAAGTTAATTGACATATGAGACTCATGATTATCTAGTATCAACAGCACAGGGTTTGTCTTAGATGGTTGAACACTTTTTATAAAATGATTAAACCACTCCATAAAGGTTGATTCCACCATCCACCTCAATTAATAATAGGTTATTTTAATTTGTAAATATGTAATTTATATTTCTATGATACCCACTATCTTAATTTACAAATAATTTTTCCTCCATATATTTTTATTGTACCTAAGTAGCAGCAACTGCAATTTATATTAGTGGCCTATTGTAAGTAAAATATCAGCAGCCCACCGGGGCTTCCCCCGGCATCCTGGTGGACAAGTCCAACCCTGATTACAGTTATATTATAATATTATAACAAGTAACCCGAAGCTAAAAAAAGGCTGAAAAATCTCAATGGATAGAAATAATAAATATGGAATAAAATTTACATCTATCTTTTATAAACTTTGACACCAAAGTTGACTTTTTTCAAGTATTAAATGATAATTAAAAAAAATTTCAATAACATTTTAAATTTAAAAAGTTTAAACGAATATAATAATTATACTAATAATGTTTGTTTAACAAGTATATATTCATTGAATAAATTAACGGGAACAATAATTGTTTCCGTTAATTTATTCAATGAATATAACTTGTTAAACAAACATTATTTGTTCAACAAGTATTGGTATACAAATATATTTTGGTATACAAATATATTATGGTATACAAATATCTATTACGAATAATTTTTTTAATCAATGGTTTAAACGATTATTTTCTAACGAATGTTTGTTCCTCTCTAATCACGAGTCAGTTTTTTGAACAAATTAATCGAAAAGTTTTTAGAAAATTGGTTGTTTTACTTTTTTTAAAATAGTTTATAAACAAAACTCAACAATTACAATTAAAAAAAAAAAAAGATAAAGAAACAACAGCACGTTTTTGATCAATTTAGAGCACGTATAATCTTGCATCAAACGATTTAGTTTGAATGCTTGTCATAAATTAAATATAATCATAATTTTATGAATAAAAGCATAAATTATGAAGATCTTCCAATTTTCAATTGTATTTCGCAATGCGAACTGTTGTACTTGTATTAAAAAACTCGTTAAATCTTTCATCAAAGACCGTGGCAGCTTTATTTAATGTTTGGGAAAGTTAACTTTCCGACATTGAGTGAACTTTAAATATATCAAATAACATTGCCAAGAAAAAAGTCGCTGTGATTGGATTCTGGGAATAACAAAACTCTGGAACTTGTGCCCCATCCCTCGTTCCCATGCTAAATGTGAGGACGACAATTTTTTTAATCTCTTCGTTTCAACGAGTTTAAAAACTCTAGAAGGTCATAACTTTCAAACGCTAAAATATGATCTAATAAAATTTGAAATCTATTGGCAAATGAAAATTTTCTTTAAAATGGTATTAATAAAAAACTCTATTATTTTAAATTAATTACAATTACAAAATTGAATCACAGCAAATTTTTACTAAGCATTTTCATTTGATAAAAGCATAAATATATCAAAAGTTGAAGTTTGCTATATGTCTGAAAGGCACAACTGAATAAACGCGAATTTCATAAGTGCGAACTGGTATAAGTGCGAAGCAGTTGCAAAAACTGGCAAAAGTGCGAACTGGCATAAGTGCGAATCGGCATAAGTGCGCCGAACAAATTTGCAAACTTTGTTCGTCGCACTTATGCCGAAACAAAAACTGAAAATAATTTTAAAAATTATCAAGAGTGAAAAATAGAATTTTACATTTCAAAAATATTTATATATATTGCCAGTAGAAAGAATATAGTTTTTTAATTTAGTTTTAAAAACGGAAAACGAAATTGACAAATCAAAATTTGGAACAACAATTTTGTTCCATAAATACGGTGCTCTATAGTTTACGCAAAATTGATTAAAATTTGTTTGACAAAAGGATTCAATTAATAAATTATTATTTCGTAAAGCATATTTGTTTATAGCTTTATAAGTAAAAAGATCTTTGAAATTGGATAATGGTCGTTCACTTTTACAAAGAAACATAAAACATAAAATATTATAGACATTGAGTTCGTAAACGTTAAGTGTTTTAACGTTTTTAAATAAAATATTTGAATGAGAAAAACGATTTTCGAAACATATCAAAAAAATAGGTATAAGTGCGAATTGGCATAAGTGCGAAATGGCATAAGTGCGAAGCAATTACAAAAACTAGCATAACTGCGAATTGGCATAAGTGCAAAATACTAATTTGCACTTATGTCAATATTTGAAATTTCATTCGGCGCACTTATGCCACTTCGCACTTATGCCAGTTTTTGTAACTGCTTTGCACTTATGCCAATTCGCACTTATGCCAATTCGCACTTATGCCAATGTTTGCAAATTTGTTCGGCGCACTTATGCCAGTTCGCGTTTGTGCCAGTTTTAGTTAAAACTGCTTTGCACTTATACTAACTTGCATTTATGCCAGTTCGCACTTATGCCAATGTTTGCAAATTTGTTTAGCGCACTTATGCACTTATGCTAGTTCGCATTTGTGCCAGTTTTTGTAATTGCTTCGCACTTATGCCAATTCGCACTTATGCCAGTTCGCACTTATGCCAATGTTTGCAAATTTATTTGGCGCACTTATGCCAATTCGCAGTTATGCCAGTTCGCACTTATGCCAGTTTTTGTAACTGCTTCGCACTTATGCCAGTTCGCACTTATGCCAATTAACACTTATGCCAATGTTTACAAAATGATTGAGCGTATGCTAGTTTGCACTTATGCCAGTTTTTGCAATACTACGCACTTATGCCAGTTTGCACATATGCCGATTCGCGCTTATGCAGCCTCCCGGTCTAAAAGTTTTCTTTCCTATACCCCGTTCACACTGTCAGTAAAACACGTTTTTTTTTAAACGCGTTTTATATATATTATATAAAGCGTAGAAAAGAAAAACGCGTTTTACAATGATTTTATATATAAACTTATATATTATAAGTTTATATATAAAAACATTGTATAATTATAATGTATATAATCAGCAATAAAATAACATGGCAAAGTTGTTTTATATAAACACAAGCTTTTTATATTGACAAAACAACTTCACAGTATTGTTTTATTGTTGTTTTATACACTTTTTTACAAAATCAATTTAGTACGCAATTTAGTACAATTAAGTATTTAGTATTTAAAATAAATTGTGTTGTGCTTTAAATACTAAATGCTACACTTAATACCTCGATCCCTCTTTATTTATTTTTAAAAAACTGACACTGTAATAACACTTAATTAAGTAAGTCAAAGTCGTGTTGGCACAAGTCTATTTTTACTCGAACTTTGTACTTGTGCAATTAAATGAAAAGACAGGAGGCTTACTAAAAATTAATTTATTTAATTTTATTTAGCAAAAAAAAAAAAAAAAAAAAAAAAAAAACTGCAAATGAATGATTTATATCATTCATTGCATTAACTAGAAAAAACAAAGTTACTTGTCTGGGTATATTGCAGTCTCTTTCTCAGAACGTGGCGTAGCTATTTTTTCTACTTAAAATATTGTTTATAAGTAAATTTTAAAAAATTCAATTGATTAAATTAAAATACTCAGATGCTCTTTTTCGAAAAATCACTTCAGTAAAATTTATTTAAAAACTTTGTTTCCATGAATAAAATGTAATAGATGCTGCATAACTTTCTTTTGCACCATCTTTATTTAAACAGCTGTTAGGTATTCGAGTCATGTTAATTTGTACTACAACTAATAATTACAATAATACGTCATAACCTTTTTATGAATAAGCGTTTTATAAATTAATGAGTACGCGACTTCTAACGCGTAATGCTTACGTGACAACTAACACGAAAAAGTTGTAAACGTTGACTCACCAAATAACAATAACCATTGAAGTATAAAACAGATAGAAGTTCATCAAGCTAAAAACATCAAAGCAATTTCAAGTCGTCTCTGAAGTATGCTTGTAACTGACAAAAGTTTTATTAAGACCTGGTAATTAAATCGAACCACTTTATTTTAAAAGCTTAAGTTAGTTTAAGCTTTTTTTCTTGCTTCAAACGATAACACGACGTTTGATTAAATAGTTAACTAAAATATTTAAAAAAAAAAAATCAAAAAAAAAATCTCCAAATTACTAAAGCTTTAAGTTTCATAATAATTCCATTCATTCTTGTAATACTCCATTCATTTAATATGAAGTTTATAAAAAAGTTGTTGTTTGCCGTTTAATATGAAGTTTAATATGAATTTAACATGAAGTTTATAAAAAGTATGAATTTAATATGAATTTAATATTAAGTTTATAAAAAAGTTGTTGTTTGCCGTTTTGTCGCGCCATTTTTTATTGTTGATACTTGAATATTATTGGCGAATCGTCAAAATACTGTATTTTTAAACTATTATAATTATAATTAAACGGACGGAATAATTTGGGACTGTGCATGTAACATTTTGTTTCGTAAACAATAAAAAAACAACATCAAGACTGTTCTTAAACGCTTAATCTTTATACTTTGTAACAAAAGGTTACTAGCATAGTCTCGAAGCGTTTCAATGCGATTGAACTTTGGATCTGTTTTATAATTCCATACAAAAAAACAGAAAAATACCCAAATTTCCCGGTGGGTCCGTCAAATTTGAGACTGCGAGCCTGAAAATATCTAAACTAATAAATTATCTTTTATTTTTTCTGTTTAAATAAAAACAGTATATGTGCGTATTTATATAAAAAGTTATATGCAGTTCAAATATTAAAAAAATACGATACCGATTGGGCCAAGCAATCCCTGAAAACATTCTATAGCGGAATTTCAGTGGACCTTTATAGACGTTTTGAGCGGAATGCTGTAGTTTTGGTCATCGGTTTCTTAGTGGACCATTAGTGGCATACTCAAAATACGGGTAGCCGATAAAAAGCCACTATTAATATGTTGGCTTCCTATTTGAAGCGGCTGATACTAATGTTTCACAAAGTAACCGATGAGCAAAACTCCAATGAACCGCTAAAAAATGCCTTTATAGGTCCACTGCAAATCCGCTTAAACAATGTTTGATGAGCTGTCTGTTGCCTAGTTAATTAAATAAAATTTATTTTTATAATTTTTATAATACATTTGTTAAGTAGAGGCCGGCAATTTTAATATTTTGTGTAACATTAAAATTTGAAATAAGCCAGAAAACATTCTGTAGTGGAATTTCAGTAGACCTATATTGACATTTTGAGCGGTTCACTGCAGTTTTGCTCATCGGTTATTAGTGACAGCCGCCAAAAGGGGCTAACCGATGAATAGCCACACTATAACAGATGTCATTAATGGACTTTTAAGAAACTGATGAGCAAAACTTCATTGCACCGCTCAAAATAGCCATATAAGTCCACTGAAAATCCACTACAAAGGTGCTTGGATATTTGATATTTGATATCTAAAACTAAAATAATACAGCAAAATAATTTTCAGTGCAACGAAAATGTCCCATTTTCGGAGCTAAAGGTGGTTAGTACTGCTGTAGTATTTTAATATTATTTGACCCAACCTAGCATAAGCAAATACATAAGCAATCTTTTAAAATTTTTTTGCAATGTATATTAATACCTTTTTTTTAATTTTAACTGTTTTACTATAATTCAAGTAAGTTTTTTTCATATGGAGAGAAGAAAGTCATCATAATATACTTTATTTGGCATTGCAAATGAACTTCCGCAGACTCTGCTGCCGACTAATATGGAAGTTGCACAATATTTTCTCAAACTGAAGACAAGAAAAAATGCTTCTAACAAAGATGAATATGGTATTGTTGCAGAAGCAGTGGCTAATTTGTGAAAAAAAGCATCGATTTCAATAATACTACAGAAGACCATTGTTAAACGAGTCGCTGTATTAATAGAAACTGGGTTAAAGTTGTGTCGCTCTAAATCAAGTTCCGTTTTACTACTTTTACCAACTTCTTAAACAATTTGTTTGGTATTTCAGCTTGCAAATGTTTAATTTTGTGTGATGAATCTACAAAAGAGCTGAGTATATCTTCCAACTGCCCGTAAGACCTATAAGATCCGAGCGAGGAACTGAAATTTCTCTTTAATCAAAGACATTCATGTTTAATTTTCATTGGCGGTGTTGATAAGGCAGCAACAAGCAAGCTACAAAAGCATCTAAAGCAAAAGATGAGTAGTTGAGAACTTTGAAGTATAAGAAAAAATCAAGTGCTGACGTTAGGTCAGTATTCTTTTTATACATCAGAAAATATTACACATATTTAATGTGACGACGAGTTACATAGCAGCTATGAAAACTATCCTATTCTTGAATAACATTATAATTTAGCTGTTGAACGAGGTAGTTAATATCTTATCCACACAATATCAATATCTGGTGAAGCTATTGATATTACTAATAGTATTTTTCAGGTCATTACGCTCCAAGGTGTAACTGATTATGGTGTTTATGTAAAATTAGTACTTGTACTATATGTAAATATTCCATGAAATATAAAATCTATTTCAAAATACATTTGATTTTATACAATTCGTGCTTTTCGATTTGAAAGTACAAATACCAATACGGGAAATACGGAGCTATTTGTCAAGTTGAACTAACTCTGGGACATCCACTTTGCTGGTTTATTTGCATGCTGCACACAAATGTTTTCACATTTGGATGAACCAACTTCTTATGCTGAATTTACTGGTCCTATCCGCAAGAATATTTAACACTGTGACAAAAAAATCTAATTATTCAGTTCAGACCAATCATGTGTGACAATGCTATGCCTGTTCTAAATGTAGATATGTTGGAAAACCTGTGATCAAAAGTATCTATCTGATATTGTACATGCAATTAGGAGTGGAAATCTTAGGACCTGTCAGTGAGAGAACCAGGTCCTCTTAACCATGCTCGATGGGTAACACTTACTAATTTGATTTGCTGGTTGTACATATTGACACATAGTCCAACAAAAAATATAATTACCATTACACATTTCATTGTTATTAATTATTAACTCCCAACTGGTTTTCGATGAAACAAAGTCCTTTACGTAAAGATGAAGCAAAGCATATTTATTTGGCTATAAAGCTTGTAAAAGCACTTTCCAGAGATATTTGTGCAGTTGTTGAGTCATATATCATTCGTAATGCTTTTTTTGCACATGCAAAAAATATTTTAATTGCAATGTTTTCAAGTTTTAATAAACACAACCGTTAAAAAAAGGATTCTTCTTTGCAGGCTCACAGCAAGTACCAATAATACTGTAAGACAATTTAAAGTTCCAAACATTGAATTTAATTGGAGTGACAAAATTGATATGATTGATTGGCAAGAGACTTATGAACCTCTAAGTACCAAGATGTTATTAATCCAACAAATCTCTCACTTTGTTGACTCCCAACTCATTCTCAATTATCCCAATCACATACAATCTGTTGAAAGCTACAAAAAGCTTGTCAGCGAGGTATCAAGTACTGTTTATAACTTTGACGCCGTTGATGGTTTTATACGTGTTCAGATTCAATTGCGCAGTCTCATGCCTCACTTTTTTTTCAAATAGAACTATGCTGAGAACTTTCTGTAAATTACATAATGTATATATATATATATATATATATATATATATATATATATATATATATATATATATATATATACATATATATATATATATATATATATATATATATATATATATATATATATATATATATATATATATATATATATATATATATATATATATATATATATATATATATATATTGTTCTCCATTAGTTTTTTCCATATTTGTAGAACTCCTGGACAATTGTTCCTAACTGATGTGTTTGAGAGCTTGTTTGGTCCAATAACTTAAGCTAACAGAATATAAAACGAAAAGAATATGAAACAAATTCTAATCTGTTTAATAAATAATCATTGTAGTTTATGCAAGTTTTACAATTTAGTTAATATAATGTTGTAGTAATAAGTATTTAGCTACTATTATTGTAACTAATTTTTTATCAAATCTAAAATTTATTTGTCATACCAAAGACTTCACCTTTCATGTTGATGAGTTCGATGATTAGTTGCTCCACTTTATGTACCTTCAATAGAATAGTAAGCCCTGGATTTCTTTAGCTCGTGAAGAACTCTATATCTTTAACATATATAGAGTTTAATGATTTATCAAAACAAAATTGAAATATTTTTTCGAAATTTCTAAGTACCTTTATGTATTTGGAAGCGGAATTTCCCAGACTGGACTCATTAAAAAAAGGTCAAAGCTGTTTTTAAACAACTTATTGCAAGCATTGCCTTCCAAGCGATGCTGTCCTTGGTAGGATACTCTGCAGATGTTTATTGTAGATAGATATTGGTTGACTCCTTGTTTTCAAAAAAACCTTTTTTGAATTACTTTTAAAACTTTTATGACAACTCCTAACAATAAATATAGACCGGGAATATTTACAAGGTTTATATTTTTTTTTGTTTCCTGTTAATAAAGAAGATTTAATGATATTTGTGTACTTTTTTACATTTTTTATATTTGCAATATCATCGTACAATCTGAAAAAAGATTCTAAGTAATTTTTTTTTTATTTGTATTTCATGCTCTGTTTTGCTATACAATTTTCTTATATTCAAAGATA